TATATTTTTGGAAAGGTAATTTTAAATTATTTTCAATGAATTAAAAATATACAGGGTGTCCCATATAAAAAATGAAATTTTCTGTTGATAACCCTTAACTAATTAATTTAAAAAAAATACGAAAAAAAATTGCATGTTCTATTTAAGTAAAAATTATTTTTTGTGTCTCGCCTGAAATGCCAAATTTTATTCATAATAAAATATTATCAAAAACTTAAAACTAATAAATATCAATAAACTTTGGTGATCAACCATGAGAACCTGACGCTTGTTACTCAGCTTTGCTCGTAGAATCACACTATATCGCGTGGTTTTATTGAACCGCACCAAACATCTGGGAGGGCTAATTTTGGGTCTAGGGGGCTAAGCCCCCCCCCTAGCCCCCCCCCCTAGTTGCGCCACTGAGTACGACCCATTCTGTAATTGGCGCTTGCTGCTGAATGGAATACATCAAATAAAATAAAATAAAAATAAAATAAATAAAGAAGAGAGAATTGAATAATCAATACCAGAAACGACAGAGATGTGATATGTGTCAACGAAAAAATGATTAAAAAAAAATCTCCTGAAACAAATGTGCACCATCCATGTACGGTGCCTGCAGATTGTATGTTAGCAAGAACTGTATTTGAAAAAGTTATATACATTCAGAGTTTGCAGTTTCGTTGAAAATAATGTATGTTTATTAATTTAGCTTCGCAGTTCAGTTGTTTGTACTTTCAATAAATAATACGAGAAAACCAAAAAATATATATATATGTTATTAATTTCTATGGGCTTTTAGCCAACTTATATTTCTGTTGTCAAAAATTCCTAAAAAATGCGTTTTACTTTATTTTTGTGTCCGTTCTTATTAATTTATTTAAAATTAATGACATTATTAATTCACAAGTTTGATTAGTTACAAACTTTTTATAAAATATCTTCGTAATTTATTTTTAACTGCAAAAAGGAATTGGGGTCTATCGGACCCCAGAACGCCATAAGCGGTACAAAATTTCACCACGTCATCGCCACTTGAGAGTTAAGAAGGACATGCAAAAAATGAAATAAAGACAATTAATTTTAGTTAACTTAACAAAAATATGTGTCATGTAGCTATATTGTTTTTTTTTAATATTTTTTAAAAGTAGCTCACTTCTATAACATTTTTATTTTTTCAGATAAAAATCGAGATTTGGTACGTTAGTATATAGATAAACCAGGATTAATTGACATATTCAATTGATTTCGATCACTTCCACTTTCATCGGAAATGACTCCAACTTTAGATTTTTAAATGGCACCCTCTGTATTTTTTTACTTTCTGCGATAAAAAATGACAATCTGAAGAGAACGACATATCCTATGTCACCTATTGACATTTTCGCATATGGTTTATTTGAAATTAGAACATGCGGTTCATAACGACAATTTGACCCAAAATACCAAGCGTGTGATATCAAATCATTCGTTCCATTTGAAAAAAAAATAAGTTGTGATTATAAATACGATTTGAGCTTCATTTAACCGACCAGGAAAATTTACCAAAAACGTTAGACGATCAAATCTATTTTTCTAAGGCTCTTTGATTAAAAATTGGTGTTTTTAACGATTTTTTAACCTGAAAATATCAAAAGTTTACATGTGATATGCCATTCTATTCCGAGTCTGATTTTCTACGAAACAAAGTAAAAAATAACGAGGGTGCCATTTAAAAATTAAAAGTTGTAGCCATTTCCGGTATTATTAGAAAACAATGGAATACGTCAATCAATCCTAAGTCATATACTAACAAACCAAATATCGTTTTTGATATGAAAAAATTAAAAAGTTATAGAGTTGAGCCACTTTTGAGAAACACCCGGTATACATAAGTAAATTATATACAGGGTGTCCCAGAGTAAGTGCTAGTATTTTAAGGGGTGGTAGATCTCGATAAAAGAAACATATTTTCTCTTCATCGTTTTTCAAATAAGTCCAAAATAACGGAGTTATTTTACTTTGAAAATTTCCAAAAAAAAAGATTTTTTGCTAAAATTTTGAGTACCACTGGATCTTTTCTGGATTTTGTTTCTTGTAAATTTAATCTAATACTTATGTTGCCATATTATAAAGAAATTATGTTTTTAAACCAAAAATTCCAAAAAATTTCGAATGTATAATTTTTTTTGGCGAAAAAAAATTCAAAGGCGTGTTTCTACGGTTGAACTATACTACCGCTTAAAATGTACTTATTTCTGGGACATCCTGTATAGTACTTCGATAACTAAAAAAATTATATTTGAAATTCAAAGAAATAAGCATATCGAAAAGTGTTTTAATACGAAAATAATTCGGTGACAAAGAAAAACTAAGAGGGAAGACTGGGAAGAGAACTATCTAGAAAGTTTTTTCAAGTTAATCTTAAATTCAGCAGTCTGACGGTTCATCTTTTCTACAGGTAAACAATAATTATTGTGGAGCTTGGAAATGTTATAGACATCTAGTAAACAACACCACAACACATGGTTTTATGGGATGGTGGAGTAATATTCCATTCAATAAACGTTTTTTCTCTACCAACAAATAAGAGACTGAATGGCATATAATTGACAAACGAACCAGAAAAGCCAGCCTTTGTGCGCTGGTTAATGTGGTCACAATAATAATAGAGATTTTTCAGGAACCGTGTTCCGTAATAATAAAAATTCTAGGTAAAATGTAGAAAGAACAGACAACCATAACCAAGGTAATAAACGGAATACAACCTAAAATTTAACTGATAATAATTATTATACAGTTTAAATTTTTGTCACGGTTACGATTTTCTTAAAGTGAAACTATTATATTAAAATTATTCTTTTAAAACTTTTATTAATTACTTTACTGGAGAACTAGATAATTTAGGTATAGAGGACATGATACTCTGAAAATCAATTTTACCATTATTTGGATTATTTATACAGGGTGTTTCAGAAAATATGTGCCATCTCTCGTGGGGAGATTCCACATGTAAAAATAAGGTTTATTTTTCATATCAACATAGGTCCTATTCTGCTTTGTATCGTAGCTATAGGGTGTTAAACCCTTAATATTTTTCGATTTATTATAAATTTCTTCTAAGTACTTGTAGCGATTCCAATGAAATTTTGAGGGTAAAAGTTACTATATAAATGCTACATATTTTAAAGCTAAAGAAGTGTCGACAGATTCACCAGGGACGTGCACATGGGTTATCACTGAAATATTTTTTTTTAAATATCATGTACGCCACTGACTTTTTTTCTGTTGTTAGCAAAATAGAGTAAACAGTCTGATGCCTATTAAAAGTTGTCTCTTGATATTTTGTTGATTTCGGCCTCCTTGATGAGACAAACGCAATTTTATTAATTTGCCTTGATCCAAGTCTAATAGGTAGCAACCTTTAAAATTTTTTAATATGATTAACCTGCGAAAGTTTTAAATAAGTACTCATTGGTTCCTCATCAAAAAATATGAAGAAAAGTTCCTATAAAAATGGGTAGGGAAATGCATAGTTTTAGAGTAATGTTAAAACTAATAATTAATGTTGTTTAGAGGATGTTAAAACATTTTAAAATTAGGTTTTTTCTAATTATCTTAAATACCATTATTTTTTTATTTGAAATTGCTGTAGGTTGGACTAATAGTAATAATAACTAATAGTAATAATATTTAATAATAAATTAAATAAAATAATTTTTATTTTTATTTTATTAATTGTGATTAATAAAATTAAGGAGGCCGATTGTGTCAAAATATCAAGAGACAAACTTTAATTGTTTAATTGGCATTAAACCGCCTACATAATTTCATACCAAAGGAAAAAATCAGTGGCGCACATGTTTTTTTATAAATATTGCTGTGATAACCCATATGCACGACCCTTTTTTTCCGACTTTTTTAGCATTAAAATACGTAGCACTTATAGTAACTTTTACTCTCAAAATTTCATTCGAATTACTAAAAGTAAGTACTTGGAAGAAAATTATACCTAATAAATCGAAAGATTATTAAGACACCCTGTAGCTGCGAAACAAAGTAGAATTGGACCTATGTTGATATGAAAAATAAATCTTATTTTTACGTGAGGAGTCTCCCCACGGAAGGTGGCACATGTTTTTTGAGACACCCTGTATAACATACAGGGTGTCCCAATATTCCGTGGACATAGAACTACTACGTATTTTTGTAGTCAAAATACAATTTACCTCTATGCAAAAGTGCTTCATTTGTCCGTTCAAGGACATTAAAAAAAATAAACACATTTGTTCAGATATTTCATAAGAACCGTTATTTCGATTTGAATAAGATTTTGGGTGTCTATGTTTTGCTAAGTGCTTTAACATTTGACTTTCACAAAAATCAAGAAAAAGTACGGGAAGGGTAACTACCCCCACCCCTACATAAATTTTAGTATATGTGCAAATATTTTCCAACTGAACCGACGACGACCGATTCATTTTTTGTAAAATGGCCCTTCTATTATTTACTACATTTTTTGTCTCTTGTAAAAAAACGCCATAACACAATTCACACCAATTGCAACCCAATCAAAACTAAAATGCAACAAAACAAAAAAATAAAAATTTATATATCACTGCCATTTTTGACAGACTTATATGCAGTATAGTACAATTCAGCAAAATATTTGAAAAATATAATATATAGCACACTAGAATAGTTGCACACAAAACTCAAAACCTGCTGGAAAAAATTTCACTCAGTTAAAAATAAAAACACCAATGTTAAATATACGAAATACCTTGTAAAGAATACATAGGGCAAACGTCGCATTATTAAAAAAAAGAGAGAATCAAGGGCCATAAATATGACAAAAAAAATAAAACAACCTCAAACCATGAGATATCAAAAAAAATTAAAACCGGAAAAAAATACAAAAAATAGAGAATTTCTAGAAATGATTGGAATTCAAAAAATAAGTCCATAAATGATAAAAAAGACGTTAGCCGTCTAACCGGACTATACATTCCACTAATATAGATATATCAGTTGTCGATCCAGCGTACACAAAATATGTACAATATATAGAACATTTGTACAGATGTAAAAAGAAATTAAATTATTTTAAATGTTAATATAACAAACTACATGTTTAATGTTGTGTTTACAATATGTGACTTATTATGTGGACATGGGTAAGTTTTTATTCCTATATATATGTAATTTTATACTTTATGTATGAATTGTGTTAAATTATTGTAGATAAGATTATGAAAAAGGCCAAAAATAGGCCGAAACTTAATCTCAAATAAAATAAAAATCTCTAATATGCAATATGCAAGACATTTATTAAATTACTAGCGTGTACCCGCGACTTCGTTCGCGTCGAATTAATCATTTGTAATGGTAAAGCAAAGCAAGAATTTCCATTAACATACAAACTGCATCAAATTTTCTCACATTTATGTCAGCATGAGAAAAAACAATATCGCGATATTATTATATAACTTGGTAATATTTGAGGGGTAGTTTCGTCTCGTTGGAATTTGACTTTCGAAAAATCCGTTTGCCAAAAATAAGCTTTTTCGTCAAGCAGTTTAAGTAGAATCGTGATTAATTAACTACCCAACTTTTTGGAACACCCTGTATGATTTTGTAAAAAATTTTAAAATATGCAAAAAAACAAAATAAATTTTGCATGTCCAAGCGTTTTCCCGAGAGACTAACCGTTTTTTAAATAACAAATATTGTAATATTTGAGTAGCGTTTTCAACCCCTTGAAATTTGAGATTCGAGAAACCCCTCCTTATCGAACTTCTACACCCCACAGTCAATCCGTTTGCCAAAAATCAGCTTTAAACGTCAAACAGTTTAAGCAGAATCGTGATTACTCAATGGTCATATTTTATGAAAGACCCTGTATAAATTTTTAAAAAATCTTAAAATATGTAAAACAACAAATTAAAGTATACGTGTTTAAGAGTGTTTCCGAAAAACTCGCCGGTTTTTAAATAAAAATATTCTAATATTTGAGGGGTGGTTTACCCCCTTAGAATTCGAGTTTCGAAAAATCCCTTCTTATCGAATCTCTACACATTAAAGTCAATCCGTTTTCCAAAAATCAGCATTTTACGTCAAGCGCTTTAAGCAGGATCGTTATTAATCAATGACAAGATTTTTCGAAACACCCTGTATTCATTTTTAAAAAATCTTAAAATATGTAAAAAACAAAATAAAATTTACGTGTTTAAGCGTTTTTTCGGAAACTTGACCGTTTTTTAAATAAAAAATATTGTAATATTTGGGGGGTGGTTTCACCCCCATGAAACTGGAATTTCGAAAATTTCCCTTCTTATCGAACCTCTACACCTTAGAATCAACCTTTATGCCAAAATTGAGCTTCTTACGTCGAGTGGTTTGAGCAGGATCGTGATTAATCAGTATGTCAGTCACTTAAGGATTTTATACAGGATGTCCGGAAATTAATGCAACAAAATTTGGTCATGGATTCTTAAAAAAAAAATAGGTGACCCGTATTTTTTATTTTTGTCGGGTGGTTAGGTTAGGTTAGTTTAAAATAATTTATTATTTTCCAAAATCTTGTTTTTATTACCTAAGTGCGAACCTAAATGTTCAAAAACCTAAATTGTCGTTTTTTAAATTTTGCTATGAAAATTTACATTAAAATTTTAGCGATTTGGTCATGTATGAAAATGGTTCTTATTTTTTTTACGCGAAAACGGTGCAGCGTACGAAAAAAAGTCATGAGATCAAATTTGTTTCCAATTTAATGTAGATTTTAAAAATAATTTTTATTTAAAAAAAAACAGTGGCGTACCATTTTTTTCTTCAATAATATTTAGTTTAAATACCGTAGGGACGCCACTGATAAAAATAAAAAAAAAATAATAGCATCAAAAATATCATTTTATGGTAAAACAACGTGTACCAAATATAGTGATTTTCGTCCAACAGGGCCCTGAGATATTAAAAAAAACTCTTTTTAGGGGCGAAATTTAGGGGGCTGTAAATCCGAAAAGGGGGACCACTGGCCAAAAATAAAAAATACGGGTCACCTATTTTTTTTCAAGAATCTATGACCAAATTTTGTTGCTTTAATTTCCGGACACCCCGTATATTAGTATAGATTAACGTACTTGATATTCGAAAACCAAGAAAAATACACAAAAACTTAAATATAAAGTAGGAATAAAAAAAACTAAATAGAAACATATTTTATATCTGAATAGACTTAACTTCTAAAAATTAACGTGATCTTGAATAATTGTATTTGCACATTTTAAATAATTTTGTCTTTTTGTTTTTTTTTCTAAGCGTAACCCCTGAAACGTTACGCATTTTTGTAAAAAATGTAAAAAAAACGACAAGCTGGTTTCAGTTTGGATTCGACTCAGTGGTGTTTACATTTTTTTTTATTTTGTAGATTTTACTTACAGTGGCGAAAACCTGATACTTTTTTCGATAGAGAAGTTTATTAGAAAAATATGGGAAATAAAAGTATATACAGGGTGGTCCGAACTGTATTATGGAAACTTCGGCAGCATATTCTGCAGATAAAAATAGGTAAAAAAAGTTCGTATAAATGTATATCTTAAAATGCTTAGTTTGGGGGATACAGGGTTGCAGTTGCAATTTCATCTTTATTCAATTTTTTCTAAATAATTTCTGAATTAACGTCAATATTTGGATGAAAATTGGTGTCTGGGAGTTTTTTGAGAAATTTGATTTTGAAATCAATACTCCAATTGACTCCTATTTGTAGGGGGCGCCATCTACATGTGTTTTAACTTTTTTTTGAAGATTAATAACATTTCGTCCGTAACTGTATAAAAAAGTATACATTTTCGTGATTTTTTTACGTAAAAAATGTCTCTTGATCTAAAAAAAATGAAAATGAAAATGAATAAATCTCTTCTTAACCCGCCATAACTAACGTGCCTGAGTACCACAACTTTACTAACGTAGGTCTGTAAGACCGATAATATAAAAAACTGGTAATTTGAGTTTTTTTGTGTTAATTTGTATTTTTTTGCTAGAAGAACATAATAAAAAAGACAACAATAAACAAAAGTCATTAAAACCCAAAAGAAAAGTTAACATGAAAATTATACGCTAAAAATAAACTGGGTTTCCTAAAGGGCAACCAAAAAAAATTGTTTTTGTCAAAAAACAGAATTCATTAAAATGTTGATATCTTGATATTTCACTTCGTCATCCGATAAGCTAATGATGATTGTCCTCAATTTCTGAGTCTGTCTCTACTTCTAACAATTTTTGTAAATAAACTTGCGTTTTTTAAAAATCATCTGCCATTAGTGATCCTAGTTTTTAATTCGATAAACGCAAAAAGGCGGGGGAACTTCCCGCACTAGTAGTAAGGGCACGGCGGGTTAATCGCTACGAGCAACGGTTCTCAAGATATGTAGAATGGAAATAGTCAATACATGTCATAATTGACAAAAAATAAACATGTCGAGTAGATATCTCGAGAACCATTAGGTAGGTACTCGTAGCAATTTTTACCAAGAGACCTTTTTTACGTAAAAAAACGTTGTAAATGTATATTTTTTACTCAATAGTTTTATACTGGTACGGACGGAAAGTTATTACTCTTCAAATCCGTTAAAAAATATGTAGGTGGCGCCCTCTACAAGTAGGAGTCATATTGACATCAAAATCAAATTTCTCATGTCAAAAAACTCCCAGACACCAATTTTCATCCAAATATTGAAGTCATTTCAGAAATTATTTGGAAAAAATCGAAATAAAAATAAAACTGCTACATCCTGTATCTCCGAAACTACGCATTTTCAGACATACAATTATAGAAACTTTTTTACTTATTTTTATCTATAGAATATGCTGCCGAAGTTTCCGGAATACAGTTCAGAACACCCTGTATAGTCTACAGAATAAGCGTAAAATTGAATGAAATAGTAGCATCTATAATATATTTATATGTAATTTAATTTACTATACCGGATGCGGTCTCAAAAGTGGCTCACCCCTATAACTTTTTTATTTTTCAGATAAAAAACGAGTTGTGTCATGTTAGTACATGACACAAATTAGGGTTGATTGACGTATTCAATTGTTTTTGGTCACTTCCTGTTTCACCGGAAATGACTACAACTTTTGATTTTTAAATAGCATCCCCGGTTTTTTTACTTTATTCGATAGAAAATGACATTCTAAATAGAATGACATATCATATGTCAACTTTTGACATTCTCCCTTAATAAAATATTGTATTTTAAAATTCAATCTAGAGTGCCATGGCTATGTTAAAAACACTAATTCTTAATCAAGGAGCCTTGGAAAAATAGATTTGGTCGTCTAATGTTTTTAGTGTCTTGTCCTGGCCAGTTAGAAAATGCCCAAATCGTATTTTTTATCATATCTCAATTTTTTCAAATGGATCGAAAGTGGCTCATTAGCATATTTGGAAAAAGCATTTTTTTAATAGTTTGATACCAGACACTTGGTATTTCGAGTCAAATTTTCGTTACGAACCGCAAGTTATAATTTCAAATAAACCTTATACAAAAATGTATGTCAAAAGTTGACATATGATATGTCATCCTAATCAGAATGTCATTTTCTATCGAATAAAGTAAAAAAATACCGAAGGTGCCATTTAAAAATCAAAAATTTTAGTGATTTCCGGTGAAACAGGAAGTGACCGAAAACAATTGAATACGTTAATCAATCCTAATTTATGTCATATACTAACATACCCAATCTCGTTTTTTTAACTGCAAAAATAAAAAAGTTATAGGAGTGAGCCACTTTTGAGACGCACCCGGTATATTAGGACTTATTTTTTAATAATATGTATTTACTTAGAGGGAAATCTGAAATTATAAATGCTAATTAAAAAAATCAGTTCGAAGTTCTGATGGAACGAGTATCGACACCAGTGATTTTTATTCGTCGAAGTTGGATTTAAGGCTTTAGGCTTCGTAAAAACACAACTTAATCCGATTTTCTTAACGTAGTTTTCTTGTAATTAAGTCGAACCGTGCTTAAATAAAAAAATAGATAAGAGGAGTCTTGTATTAATCAATTAAGTTCCATGCAGCAATCCTGTCGACGTTATTTTTTTAGATAAAAAGTTGAAAAATGTAAATAGGGATTTTTGCTATAAAATTAATATCTCTAAGCAATAAGCTTA